TCCTTAAAATTCAGGGAAATGAAGGACGCATTTGAGGGCCGCATTTCGAGCAGCCTTCGAATTGGGACAGCCTTCGTCGCGTCGCTGTGACGTAATCGGCCTTAAAATGCGGCCTTTAAGACTGCAGACCCTGAATTAGGATACAGCCACTGAGCTGCCAACGTGCCAACGTGTGGCGGCTCGAACGCCTCCTGCTGGAGAACTTACCATCATCGGTCAACTAAACATGCTGCTGCACACCTGACACTCTGGTCCACCTGATAAAAACTGTCAATCAGAGGGTGACTAACAATCCCACACCTGATATTACAAAGTTCATATCAAGCTCTTTCCTGTTACCATGGTAATCACATACAGTCAAAGATCCCTAGCTAGTATAAAACTTCCAACTAGCAGAGCTACCATCAGTGGCGACTCGTGAAAGTAGCCTTATTACCATGGCGATTACATGGCATTGCATTGTTATTAGCTGTGTCCAAATTCATAGGCTGCATCCTCCTGAGGACCCGGCCTTCGCGGTCTACGTGGGCCGGGTCCTTTGAAGACTGAAAAAGCTGGACGTGTGAGGCTGTGAAATGGGACGGTCTGGCCTTCAGATTTGCCGTCACCGCTGTCTCTGTAGAGTTTAATAAACTCGGCTGCTTGCTTCCTCAATATAACAGGACACTGGAGTAAACTCTCGACCGTCTCACACTTCGGTTTAACCAGTTTTCTGTTTGACGTTTATTCAGCTGTGTGACAACTAGAACTTTAATCTCAGCCAAACCGATTTACTCAGGAACAAATCAAACACTGAAGAAATAACATTTTTAAGTTATCTGAGTGACTCATATATCATGTTTAACTCAGGTGGGTTGAAAACGATGTGCCCAGAGTTCGGCGTTTTCGCCCCGGTCAGCTATCGAGCTGGTGGGTAACAGACGTCTCAGAAAATGTCGGAGCACTTTTAGAAATATGTGATGTCTTGATAAATCGAGCAGATATTTGAAGTTTACACAGCTACATTCTCTACGTACAGCAGTTTCTTTTCTCTCTCCAGAAAGAGTAATAAGAGTAATATTAAAATTAAGTAGCTGCCGCCATTGTTGGAAACTGGAATCGGCTGGGCAGCGCTATGAATTATGGGATAGGTTGGACCACGAAGGACACACCCGACATATCCTTCAAATCTGGGGAAAAGGAGGACGCACTTGTCGGCTGTATTTGGAAAAGTCTTCGAATTTGGACAGCCTTCGTCGTGTCTCTGTGACGTAATCAGTCTAAAAATTGGGTCTCTGAATTTGCACACCCTACTGAGTCTTTATTTTCACATTATTATCCAACTATTGCTGTTTTATTACTGAGCTACTGAACTAGTTTAGATGAAAGGCACC